CTGGTGAATGCGTAGCTCCCTGGACACCAGCAGGGGTTACTGGGGTGGGCACAGCAAGGCGCAGGGGTAGGGGATAACCTGCCCTCCCACAGTAAGGATTTGAGGATTCTGACAGAAAAAACAAGGTGAGGATAACACAGCTGTGAACTCGCTTGGCTGCTACTGGATACAGGGCAACCAGGTCCCACTGTCTGGGGGTAGATAGTCACCCACCTCCTCCATTTGGTATGACTCCTCTGAAGCCAAAGTACAGCCCTAGGCAATATGTTTAAAGGAAGATGCTCTGGCACACAGGAGGGCAAATAGTGACCGTTTCCATGCACATAAGCTTACATGCATCCTCATATATGGGTGCACATTTCTCCACAGTTTTTTCTATTTAATTTGTTTTCATTCCATCTTTCTAGGCCTTTCTGCCTGCGCATAGTCATTTGGAGAAAAATCAAGTGTAAGCACCTCCCTGCAGAAGGCTCTGTATGTTATGTAACACACACGGGGAGTCCTCAAGTTACCATTTTGCTCCAAAATCAGCCAGCAGAAGGTTTTCTGGCTGGGTTGGGGTGGGGGTGAGAGTGTCAGGGTGATGCAAATAGATTTGAAAGCTTTATTCTCTGGGGGCTTTTATTTCCCTCCTTGAAGCCCCAGTTCAAGGCCCAGGAACAAAGGGGGTAGGTAAGTGATCCATCTTTTAGTCTCCCCTCACTCATACCCCCTAACCTGCAGGCCCTCCTCTTTGATAAATTGGGGAAAGCCTGTGGGATCAGGTACATATGTAAATACTGCTGACCTCAGCAGCCCCTCTTCACTGAAAAGCAGAAAGCTCATTTTAGGTGCAGGCTGCTCAGTACATTTGAGTATCTACCACTTCCACTCCCCTAGACGGCACTGGACTCCAGGTTACTTGTTTAGCATCCCTCTCTTGTTAAAAACATCCAGGACAACTATCAAATAGTTCTCCAGAGAGCTAAAGACATTTCTCAGGCTAGAAACATTTTTAAAGCCCTATTTGGAAGAAATTGGCAAGAAGTACAAAGTATAATCAGTAGGATTGCCTAAGCAAGTTTGAAAGATTTCTCCCCAAAAGATGTTAATTAAACATAGTTTGTAAATGTTATTTTGTTTACTAATAGGGTTTTCCCTATTACAACCTACAGATTCTCAAGACTAAGCTAGTAAGATATCTCTTTTCATTTTGTTAGTTTCTGGGTGATACTATACTTTCTGATTAGACCTATTTAATTTATTTTTTAAAACTCTGCTGGAGAGTTTTCAACCTTAGAAGTTTAAATGAAAATTAGACTCTCCCTTGGAGACTCTTGCAGGGTTGAAGTGGAACAAACCTGCCTGGCCCCCACTCCCACCTCCAAGTAGCCCTGTCTGAGCTTGGGTAGAGTGACGGTGGCAGGTTTTGGCACCTTTTATTTTAGTGCTGGCGCAAGGCGAGCTCTTTGAAATGAATATCTATTCTATTTCAGTGTGCAATGTTCCAGCCGACTAAATGGGTTTGCCTTCCGCCGAGAGGCAGTCCTGGAGGACAGAACTAATGCGTGATCTCCCAGGATGCTCTTCATCAGAACATCCCTTGTCCTTTTGTTTTGTATTAAAAAGATGTTTTGGCTTTCCTCTCGGTGTCCTTCCCGTTATTTTGTAGCTACCGCAATGAAACATGGACAGCAATTGCCATTCTTTTAGTCCTTTGCAAACATGTCTCGTACTGGAAATTCACAGAGTCCCAGATATACCTCAGGTGTGTACTGTGCTTCTGAATTTTACTCACAACCCAACTCAGCGGGTCACCTAGAGAGTCACACTTGGTTCTGCCTTCCCCTGACAGCTCTCTCCCAAACACCGCCCCTCTCCCAGCTTGTAAGGAGATGTGAATTAACTTAGAGAAAGCTTTTTGAATTAAAAAAGACCGAACTCAGGTTCTCCAGGTAAGTGATACTGGATTATACTGGTGACTAGGAAGTTAAGCGCTATCATCTCCCTTGGTATAACTCTTCTTAGAAAGAAGGGAGGGCAGCAGGCGCATTTCCACAGACATTTCTAAAACAATGGCAACTAAGAGTTTTACAGATAAAAATTCCGGTATAATTCTAGCCAGCTAAGTTATTTAAATTTAAGTTTTGTTCCATGTACACACACGTGCACACATGCACACACATAACACACACCAACTAGGGGTAGATTATCAGTACATTTCCACTGGCCAACCCTGGCAACAGCAACCACCACTAACAGACTTATTCTGGAGAGTAAAAAGTTAAAAAAGAAAAAACCTCTCCATATCTTGTAAATGGTTATTTTATATTATTTAACATCCCCACAGACAAGAATTGGCCAGATACCCTTGCTCCTTTTCTAGAAACAGGTAAACTGACCATTCTCCTTCCCTTCCCCAAGTCCTGGCTATTTTTAAAAGCTAAAATTTCTTTCCAAAGGGAGGGAAAGGAACGAATTCCATTAATGAATTACGTACGTGGAATGTGGCTCGTCTAGGGCAATTATGTTTGTAAATAAATGGCTTCCTGTTTATTATGTGTGTTTTACTAAAAAACGAAATTGAATGCCTCTGGAGCACTTAATACAGCAAATATTCACCTTATGGTTTGATTTCCACTGGGTTTTTGTTTGTTTTGTTTTGGTACTCACTAGAAAGAAATCGGGTTAAATGGAGTCAGTTGGGAAATTCATCATCCTTCGGCACCCAGGCTCACCTGGGGACGAGTCACCTCTAAAGTTCTCAGGTATGCCAAAGTATGAGGGAAGGGGGCAGGCTCTAGGGCAATGTCACTGGACTCAATCTGGGGAGTTTCAGTTTTGCCCCTGGATATTTCCAAAGCTGACCACTGCCTCCTTTGCAGCTTCAATAGTGAAGCTGGCGTTGGATTTTGGCGCCGAGACTGGGCACCGACCTGCCGCCTGGCACCCCGGCCTTCTCTGTCGCTTGCGCTCGCCCACCGCCGGCTCAGCATCGCCGCGTCCCTGGGCCTGCAGTTCCTGGGCAGGTGACCGTGACGTGGCCGGGCACTGGCAGCCACCCGAGTGTTCGTGGGGCGCTGGGGTTTTCCAGCCGCGAGAAGCGGAGGCGCGCGGCCCGGACGCCTCGGGCTCGCCAAGATCCCCATCCCGAGCGCAGTGCGCAGGGCCTGACGCTGAAACTTCACAGAGCCCCCGGCCGCCTTCCGCCCTAACCCCGGCTTCGCAGGCCATCCCCCGAGCCCCTGTCCCGGCGCGTTCCCAAACAATGAGACCCATCCGCGCTCGAGGCCAGTCCTCGCTGACCCTCCGCTTTCCGCTTTCCCACATTTGGGCTGCAGCAAACGGTCGAACACTTCTTCTGAGCCAAGGCGCCCCTTCCCTACGTGGCACCCTGCGGGAGAGACCCAAAGTGTCCCCTTTCTGGAAATCCCAGGCTCTGGTCTCCGAGGTGGGCTCTGGTCTTTGAAGCCTCAGCGAGTCCAGCTCCGTCTTGACTTTCCCTCCAGGACTCGGGGCCACGGGGAGGCTCAAGGAGAGCCGAGCCGCAGGCCCTGAACCCAACGCCTCTGAGCTCACGGTCCGCAGAGGGGGAGGCGGCGACTGAGTTCCTTGGGAGAGGGGGCTGGACTCCAGAATGCAAAATCTGCCAACTTGGGGCAGGGGTCGACGGGCATTTCTGCCTTTACTTCCCACATGCGTGCAAAAAGTGAGTGCCAGGACCTCTGGAACCTGAGCCCACCGGAACACAGCAACTCCCCCGACCTTCCAAGGAAACTTTTGCAACTTTCTTTTCTGCCCGTCCCCAGTTTTATAGGTTTTCTCCAGACACCGGCCTCGTCGATTGCTCTGCCAACTGCCCTTTAGTGTCTAGGGCCCCCAAAGCCTAAGTGTTTCTAGAATTATAATAATAATTGTTATTAGGCTGGGGACGGAGAGCAGGATCAGAGGACAGTGGACTGAGGGGGAAGAGAAGAAATGCTGATGAAAAAGGATATTTCCACCTGTGTTTAAAAAAGTTTCATTTGACAATTATCAATAACTCCGATAGACAACTCCATTAAAAAAAAAAAAAAAGATTTACTACTGCTCTTGAAAAGCCGTTATTTTTTACAGTGCTTTTAGGAAGATAGATGAACAAAACATCGCGTTTCAAGCCATTTTGATCTGTAATTAAATGGCAGGATCGGTTTGTATTCTCCTACGGCTTTTACAGAAGTTGCAGTGATCCAAAGTCGGGTTGCTGTGTCAGAGTGGCATTTTTATTAATGAGAATACAAAAAGCTTGCATATTCGTAGCCCTGCTTGAATTTAGTTGCTAAGCAACCGCTGTATGGTAATTCATCCGCGAAATTTAAATCTTTGAGAAAGGATCGTGCGTTTTGCTGAATGGTCGTCAGGAGGAAAACAACTTGTGGGACTGGCCAGCTGTTGCCGGGCCTGGCCGAGCAGAGATCCGGCCAAACCACCGCGCGGGCCACCGCCCCACCTCACCGCCGGCCATACCCTGTGTCCCTGGAGAGAAGCTGGGCTTCTGGCAGCGGAAGCCCCAGGTCCCCAGCACCACCCTCCTCAGCTCTGCTGAGCCGTTTCCACTTGAGACAGGCCCTGCACCTGAGCAAGCCCTCTGCGTCCCTAGGGCTTGAGAGACCAGGCTGCTACTTTCTGCAGCCCCCTCCCCGTCACTGGCACCCGCTGGCACCCACAGGCCCGGATACACACACACACACACACACACACACACACACACACACACACACACACGTGTCACCTCAAGAAGGCCGGTTGTCCAGACCCCTCTGAGGTCACTTCCAGAGCCGGCTCTTCCTCGAGGAAGACCTGGCTCATAAAGAACTCAGCCCACAGACCTCCAGAAGGCCAGGCGGCTGCCTCTGGCCGGCAGTGACATCATAGGCTCCTGCTCCCCACGCTCGCGCCTACATTTTAAGATACAGGAACAAACACGGATGTGAAATCAAGAATGAAAGAGAGAGTAATCTAATTAATAGGCCATGAGCCGAGCTAACAAAATCAAAGAATCTGATTACACAAGTACCCCCTCTTGCTATCTCCGCTGCCCCCAAACCTCATCCATCTCTTCCAGCCTTCACACGGTTTCCTTTCCTAGACTGGGAAGTTCAGGAGGCAAACCCAGAGACCTCTGATTTCCTTATTGAAATCAAGATCAAGCCCGTGGTGGGGATCTGCGGCTGGAGTTTACTTGGGTGACCTTCAGGCCCTCAGACCAGCTACCTGAGGAACTGAGACCAACAGAACTTGGGACTGCTGGGGAGGTGGCCCCCACACTTCTTACATGTATCACTCTTACAAACAACACCTGTACTGATCGCTTATGCTGTCAGTAACCGGACTAGAGAAAGAGGTTCTTCACTCACAGCCATTGTAAGAGGACTATTTAAAAAAAAACAAACAAAAAAAACAACAAAAACATAACACTTTTTTTTCTCCATCACCTTGTTTCTGGGTCACTGATAACCTCAAAGTCTTAACTCTCTTTCAACACCCTTCCCCAGCATAGATGTCTGAGCACACCAAGGTATTAGGTTTTATCACTGAAACAGCATCTGTTCTAATCGGTCCAGTCAGCCACGTGCATTTCATGAAAGAATACTTTAATTTCTATCCTTCTGCCTTGAAAAAAACCAGGTCCACCTCCTAAATAATTAATTTCAAGCCCGCATCCAGTGCCAATACTTGTTGCATCCATTTTAGAGTTTGATTAATTATCCTGGAACTTGGGCAAACTAAACTCCATGTGGAATGTTTCTTCCTTCAATTTAGTTCTGAAAGCTACACATTATTGATGGATCTTACTCTATTTACATACAAATTGGTGCAAATATGCCCATCTCTTAAAATGCATTTTGTATAAATATATAAAAGTGTCATTTTTGATTTAGCTTGAAGAGGTTGATCATTTATTACAAAAATAAACGAATAAATACAACAGTATATTGTTGCTTCCAACAGGATAAATACTTTACAAATATATAATTTAAAAAACAAATTTAATTGTTAAAATTATTTAAAATATTACACTTATCGATAAAACTATCAATAGTATATACTGCATTTAATATTAGAACCAATTATTCTGTGAATGTTGAAAAGCATTCATACAAAACAGATTATGAGCATGGTAATGAGCAAACACTGAAGGCTACAGGGAAGCAGAGGGACTCTCTAAGATCAATAATGAACAATTCTGTTTTGGAACAAAGAAGTAGTCCTTGGCTAAGTACTTTAAAAAAAAAAAAGAAAAGGCAGAGCAACAACAGCAAAGTGACTATTTTAAATACACCTTGAATGATTTATCGCCCAGACCTGCAGGGGAAGATGGTTGGGTGAATGAGATGACTGAGGCTTGGACAACAGATCAGGAGCCACAGGGGACTGCAAACTATAAATGGGCCTAGCTTGGGATTAGCCAGATTGATGGAACAGAACTTTGTCACTTTCCTTTGGGTTGGTACTGGAGGAGGGGGTGAATTGAAATGGGTGGAAACAAATGGGCACTTTATGAAGCACAAGACACTTGCTCTGCAAAGGAACACAATGACCAAATTCATTAAAAAGATCTGGTGATATATAACAATATTTTCATTATTTATGTGTTGTAACAATATCAGCCTTAGCACAAAACCTCTCAGTCATATCTGCTCTTTTGTTTTTCAACCATGAATTTCATTTTGTAAATACATTCAAAGGGTTGATTTTCAAAAATATGGAGTGCAAGCACTAGCTCACTTTTAAAAATGAAAAATAATGAAATGAAAAGGTCTTGCTTGCCCAGCTTCTCCAATTAAAAGTTACTCTGATGCTCCTTAATCGGGGCTTCTTCCGAAGTAATCAGCAAAGGTTGCTTTTTAATAGTGTGAAATCTAACGGTAGTTCTTTTCTCCTCGGCCAAACCAAGTAAGCAAATAGCTCCTAAAATTTTAAATAGACTCATTCTCTGTCTAATCAACCTCTACCATCCTGGTGGGAAAAACAGGTCTTCATCTCACGTGCCAGTAGTATCCACCGTATAAAAACAACCACACCCAGTCCTCAGCTTTCCAATTAAGGCCTTCTTTGCTTGCCCCTGTAGATCCTCAAAAATTATGAAGTTTGTCCCCACACCCCCACTCCAGGTTGTAAATTTGCTGGGCAGAGTGATTACAATAGCAAGAGAAATAGGGAAACAAGAAAGCCAAGAAAAGTAAATTGTGGTTTCTTGTTTTCATTTTTTCTTCTCTCTGTTTAATAAATATGGCCTTTTTCAGATTTCACAAATCAAAATGATTGTGATTTTTACTACGATTTGGTGTTTAAAATAATGCAACCCAATACATGGCCATCTGGCTGGGCTTGATTTATGAAAGTGACACAGGGTCTGTCTGGAAGAAATAACTGTTCCTTGTTGCTCTCACAGTTTTCCGGGTTTTTTAACCCCTGCATCGATATCATAGGGAGAGGAAGTGGAGATGAGAGAAGAAGGCAAAACATGAGTGACAGCTAAATGAGATCAGGGGAAAATTAATCTATAAAATCACTGCTTTATCACCCCCAAATACTTTTTTTTTTTTTTAAGTACAATATGAAAGGGCTCAACTGAGCAGAGCCTTTTGCGTCTTTAGTACTCACAACCTGAGGCATTATCCTTTCATTTCCCCTCATGGTAAATATTGATACATTAACTTGATAAATGTGACCGCTCTGCAGTATGTACCTAAGGAGTGATCCAAAAAGCTAAAACCCCCAGCACCAGTAAAGAAGATATAAGATCACATTGGGGAACGACGGAAACACAGAACTGCAGAATCTTGTGTCTGAGCTGGTAATCACAGAGGGGAATGCAGTGTGGACCACATTCCTTGCATTACAGGAGAAACAAACAAAACAAAAGACCCCAGCTTAATAATTTAAACGTAATTACATATAGTCATTAATGGGAAGTAATTGATATAAAATATTTTACAGACTTATAAGCTATTCTTCACAACTATTAGTCTTCAGAAAAAGAGGAAAGAGGCACAGCAATATGGTGGGGGACGGCAGGAAAAAGACAGACTAAACTTTTGAGGGGGCCCTGTATTAACCATTAATAATCAGTTGGCACATTTTTACTGGTGACGTAGTCCAATCTTCTGAGAAAGGCGATAAAGGACACAGGTATCTCCAAGAAAAGGACTGGTATTTTGACCATTTCCCCTAAAAACACTAAAAACACCCACTAAAATTAAGGAAGAGAAAAAAATATTGTGAAATTTACAGTTTACCAAGGAGTGACTACTAAGTTAAGGTATTAGCGTTTTGTCACATCTATCTTTCACTCTAGATTTCCAAATGTACCTTAGGTGGAGCAGGCTCCACTTCACTTCCTCAGTGCTATCACTGAAGGACTTGCATTAGTAAAAAAATATTTTCTAAAGAACTCTTTTCTTCCCACACAGTGTTTATGCATCAGACACAGACTATTTCATTCTAACAAATTTATTTTCTCGATCAGCTCTTACGGAATCACTACTCAAATTAAATTACAATCAAATGATCACATCAAAAGATACCCTTATTACCTAACAACTGTCCATATTTTCATTTCATTTTGATTTGTGCTCGTCTGAAAAAAACACGTAATACAAGATCTGGGGAAAAATAAATTACCGTTTTGCAGCAGTTCATAAGTATTCTGAATAAAATATTAAAAGAAGTCATTTAATGAAAATATAAAGCAAATATTTTTAGATCAACAACGGATCTAACAATTCTATATTGCCGTCTTTTGAAAAGTCTGTTTATTAAAACCTACCAAAAACACTGCTTGGAAATGGCAGTATTATATAATCACATCCACAGCACCCATTCAATCAAAGTTGGCAACGGATTGAGGAGCGAAGTCCAAGAAGTGCAGCGGCTGGTGCTCAGTCTTTCTAAATCCCTTTATCTGAGTCAGTCCAGAAATAAAAAATAAAAAATATTAATAAAAAAAATATTAGCAGTGGAATCTTTAGGCATCGCCCACCCGAGGGGCAGCCGTTGCAGCCGGGGTTGGTGGCTGGGCCTTGCTCCGTGCCCAGTCCACTCGCCCGCGCCCTGCTGGGCATGGCCTCTCCCACTCCTCGGCGGATGGGCGATGTCCCCTTCCCCTCGCTCATCCCCCTGCTTTTTCGTGATACTTTTATTTCCAAGGTTATTTGGAGGAAACGTATTCTTTTTCTTTTGGCTTTGCTCTTCAGTTTGTTAATTTCAGAAGCTGTGAATATTGTTTTTGCTGGAGACTGTACCTTTTTTCTCCTTCCCATTTCATAATCAGTTTGTCCCCAAATGACTTCAATATGGCCAAAAAGAACAGGGTCCCGGAGCACAGAGTCATCCCTGATTAAACCCGGTGCCTCTGCTTTCTTTCAGGTTGCTTCCAGGAAAGAAAGTTCCCGTGGGTCACTCAGGCAGCCCTTTGGAGGGAGGGGTGCTTTTTTTTAAGAGAGAAGAGGCAAGTGCTAGGTGCCGTCCACCTTCGCCTTGTAGGACTTCTCAGGGTGGGAAAGACCTCCTGAGTGCAGTTTTGGTGCGCTAGGAATCTTCACCCTTCTTTAAAAGCAAAAACAAGAACAAAAACGAAACACCACCACAGCATAAACGAGATCTCACGATCGCCCCCTTTTTCTCTTCCGGTTTTGTTTGTTATATATGTATTTAAAACCGTCTGGGTATTTATTATGCTTGTTTGTTTGTTTTGCCCCTCCTTCCTTGGACTTCAAAAAATGTCTCCTCGGTCCGTCTCTCTCTCTTTTTTCTTCCAAGGGCAGGCATACCTGTCTTTGGGTTGAGGGGAGGGCGGCGGGCGGGCCCGGGGTGGCCCTGGTGCGGGGTCGGCATGGCGACGGGGACAGTGGCGGTGGTGACAGCGGCTGCGGAGGCGGCGGCCTTTGTGTTGCTGTGGTCCTGCCCGTCACTGCACACTCGTCTGCAGCCCGTGGTGCGGCGGCGGCGTGTCGGCGCTCACGGCGCCCACCTGCGAGTACACGTCGTCCGGCGTCTGCTGTTGGATCCCCGGCGGCGTCATGCGCTTCTCCTTCTGGCGCCGGTTGCAAAACCAGACCCGCACCACTTCCTTCTCGAGCTGCAGGCTGTCCGCTAGGTTGGTGATCTCCTGCGCCGAGGGCTTGGGGCACTTGAGGAAGTGGCTCTCGAGCGCGCCCTTGACGCTCACCTCGATGGAGGTCCGCTTCTTGCGCTTGCGGCCCTGCGCCGCGATCTTGTCGATGCTCGTGGGGCTGCCGGTGCTCGAGTCCGCCTCCTCCAGCCACTTGTTCAGTAGTGGCTTGAGCTTGCACATGTTCTTGAAGCTGAGCTGCAGGGCCTCGAAGCGACAGATGGTGGTCTGCGAGAACACGTTGCCGTACAGCGTGCCTAGGGCCAGCCCCACGTCGGCCTGTGTGAAGCCCAGCTTGATGCGCCGCTGCTTGAACTGCTTGGCGAATTGCTCCAGATCGTCCGACGTCGGCGTGTCCTCATCCGAGTGCGGGTCGTGGCTGTTGAGTCCGGGCCCCGCACCGCCGCCGCCGTGGTGCGGGGGTCCCTGCGCGTGGTGCGGATGCGGCGGATGCGCGTGCGCGTGGTGGTGGTGGTGGTGGTGGTGCTCGGCCAGCTCGGGCGTGTCCCCGCGTACCAGCCCTGGGTGCACCAGGCTCTGGGCGCCACCGCCCGCGCCGCCGCCGCCGCCTCCAGGCCCCGGGGGCGCGCTCAGCATGCCGTTCACCGTGAAGCCGCCGGGCTGTGAGTACAGCA